TTCACAATGGGTCAATATTCTCTTTAATTGCATCTGATTGTTCTGTTCCTAGTACACTAATTTCCTTGCCCCCTTATTTTCTCTTCTTTGCTTTAGAGTAATTTTTGATGTTTTGGTCTCATATAGGTAGTTTTTAAATGGAGCATTGTACTCACAGGTAATATTCTTCCACTGACTTCTAATCTTAATGTGGAAGTTTGAAGTCAGCCAGATTCTTTTTATCTTTATAGTTCAATTTATCTTGTCAACTGGATGTTGAAAGGATTTTTTAAAAAAATATCTTTAAAGTTCACTAACTTCACTAGAATGTGTAGGCATGACTGAAATCTTACAATGTATAAATTCAAATCTTTTATTTATAGAAAATTTTCTTTAATCATATCTCCAATTTTTGTGTTGTTTTAGTATCAAAGAACAATAATTATCCATATGGTAGCTCTCCTTTGTTGCCTTCTACAGTTATGATTTCTGCTCTAAATCTTCTAAATTCTTGTTGATTTCTACTTAATTTAGCCCATTTTCTCAGTCCTTCTTCTAAACCTCTTACTGGGTTGTTAGTGGTGTTTATTCTGCCTTGAGTTGCTGTCCTGGATTGAATTATGTCCCCCAAAATATGTGTCAGCTTGACTGGACCATGATTTTCAGTGGTTTAGCACTTAAGTAATGATGTAATGTGGCAATTTTGTAATGATCCTCTATGATGTGATCTGATATGATAAGTCAGTCAGTTATAAGGGGTTAGGGTGGGATGCAACACCTTTAATACTGTCACACCCTGATCTGATGGGAGTTTCCCTGGGGTGTGGCCTGCAATACCTTTTATCTTATAAGAGATAAAAGGAGAGAGAAGAGAGCAGAGAGAGGGGGACATACTACCACCAAGAAAGACAAGCCAGGAGCAGAAGGCATCCTTTGGACCCAGGGTCCTTGTACTGAGATCCTCCTAGGATGAAGAGACACAGAAAGAGAAAGCCTTCCTCTGGAGCTGGTGCTCTGAATTTGTACTTCCATCTCCTAAACTGTGTAAGAATAAGTTCTATTTGTTAAAGCCATCTACTTTTGGTATTTCTGTTATAGCAGCACTAGATAACTAGGACAGCTGCTTCTAGCTTTCTTTTAGAAAGTCTACTTTTAGTAGAGTTCTGTAAATAAGTACCTAAGACTATAAAAAGAAGGCTTTGAAGGAAGAGACAGATGCTTTTACCTGCCTGCCAGGTCTGATGTTTGGTCATATTTCTTGTCCATTGTATTCCAAATAATCAAAATTCTCTTTTGACTTTTTTTTTTCTTTTATCTTCTCCTATCTAGCTTCCTTGTAGAAGTTCTTTTACTTTAGTTTGAATATTTATTGTTATAGATGTTTCTAATTTGTAGGTTTAAAGTTTTTTTTTTTTTTTTTTTCCTTCAAGATTATCTGGTTCTGTTTTATGGGAGCAGGATTATAAAATCCTTCTGGAGCAGATTGTTCTTTCCCTAAGGGAGAATTATGAGTATAAATGGTTTATCAAGCTTTGTGATGTTTTATTAAATGCATGTATTAGATGACAATCGAAGGGAAATGTGCTAACCTGAGGAAAACATAAATTTGGATGGTCTTTGGGTATATCCTTGTTAGTAATTTCACATTGTATGTAGATATGAAAGTTTTTTTGTTTTTGTTGCTTTTTTAATATACCTCTTAAGATATGAGTGTTCTCATTGACTTGACTGCTAACCAGAAGGCTGGTGGTTCAAACCCACCAGCCACTCCTCGGAAGGAAGGTTGGGCAATCCTACTTCTGTAGTGATACTGCCTCAGAAACCCAAGGAGGGGTCGCTATGAGTCGGGCCGACTCGACAGCACATAACAACAACAACAACATTGGCTCCTGGGAAATAATGAATAATTTTAAACATTACTTTGGGCCTTTTTGGAGGACATGGTTCAAAGAAAACATGGACACAAGTCTTGAGAATTTGGACAGTGACTGACTATGCCCACCTGATTTATTGACATTAAGTTGTTATCCCCATTCAGTGAGGGTCAGTGTATTGCCCTGAAGTATCTTATGCTTGTCTGGTGTGAGTATCTATGTACATGGCAACTATATAATGACTGGGAGACAGTAACTAGAATCTTAGATTCTTAAGGCTATGGAAGAGGTTTTCACTCAACATCACATTTTGTAAGGTTTATCTTGTGCAGTTAGACCAGTGGTAATTGTGGTAGCAGTATGTCCCAATATTGATCTCTTACTCTGTACCAAGGGCTGTAAGTGCTTTTACATTTTCTATCTCTTTTTTTTTTTTTTTTTTTAAGAATAACTGTGTGAGGTTTTTACTGTGATCCCATTTTACTGATAAGAAATCTGAGGCTAAGAGTTAAGTCACATGACAATTAAGTAAAAAATTCTCATACATCATTCAATACAGGTTAAGTCTGTCTTTGAATAATTAAAACAGTTTTTCACATATGATGTATACTTTCCCAACATAGAGTCTGAGATGGATTGACACAGTGGCTGCAGCACAACAATGGTTGTGAAGATGGTACCAGACTGAGCAGTGTTTTCATTATGCATAAGGTTGCTATGAGTCAGAACTAACTCCACAACATCTAATAACAACACCATAGTATCCTAGAGAATTGGATTATGAAATGAGAAGGAGTGGGAGAGTAAGAATTGTTTTCCCACTGACGATTCTATACATGCTTAAATGCATTTTGCTTGAACTTCCTGCTTTTCCAAATAGGGGCATCCTTCAGGACTTAAGTGTCTAAATGAGAATCTTTATCCCAAATTAAATTGGCTCTGAGATAGGAACCATTATGAATGAGACAGAATTATTAAAAATTATCTATATTTCCAGCTGTTAACTAGGAAATATGCCTAATATCATTTATAATACAAGAAACAGCCCAGCTAACACATGGTGGTTTTACTGAGTATTGTTATGTGCCATCGAGTCGGACCCGACTCATAGTGAGCCCTCCTTGGGTTTCCAAGGCAGTATCCTCCTTCCGAGGAGTGGCT